TGCAGCATGCAGGATCTTTTTAGTTGCCACGTGCAAGCTCTTATTTGCAGCGTGTGGGATCTAGTTCCCCAACCAGGGGTCAAACCCAGGACTTCTATGTTGGGAGTGCAGAGTCTTAAGCACTGGGTTACCAGGGAAGCCCCTATGATTACAATTTTTAAGCCATTAATAGGCTCTATGATGGCAGCCTGTTGATTAGAAATGGAATCCATCCATGGGATCAATGTGTGACTGGCCAGTGCTAAATGTAGCCAGAGGTAACCCACACCCGGTGGTCAAACCAAGGGCGTACATGATGGTAATAACACTGATGAAGCGTTTGTTGGCTGTTGATTTTTAACTGAGAGCTAATGAGGAATGGCTCGATTTACAACACATCCTGAGAAAATCAAAGCAGAGGCACTCGGAGCTTATCATTCAATTCCAGAGACTTCTCTGTCTCCCACAACAATACACAGAATGAATAGTTCTTCAAGGCTGTGGCTGGAGTCAAATACTGTGATGTCCTCTCAACTTAGACTCTCTTATGTGAGAGTTTGTTCAAGAAGACTAAACAGCACGTCTATGGAAAAGTCAGCTGCCGGCCATCAGGGGTCACTCCCTGTGGCTTCAGGAGCAGGCAAGCCCCCTCCTGAATTCCTGTCTTTTGCATCCCTGCATTATTTTCACCTTAATTCCTGCATTATTTTCACCTTACACCTTTGTGTATTGAAGATATTCTGTTGCCCTTGTTCTAAGGATAATTTAGATGTCAAAACTTGAGCATATATCTGATGATGACCTGATTCAGCGTTTTATCACTACAACTCAAGCTGACATAATGTCTGTTTGGATTTTAACATCTAGGAAAAGCTAAGAAAAGCACTTGGTTGGAAGCCCCTTGAAACGATCTAATTAGGCTAGAGTTGTGCTTTCTGCAAATGAAATGATGAGATCCTTCCAGAATTCCACAAACAGTTGTTTGAATCCTTATCTGATTGGCTTCTGCTCATGCCAAGGGGAGTAATTTTCCTTGCGTAGAAATGAGTTGAAATTTAAATAAAAGTTACTTTAAAGGAAAATTAACAGGATGGGTACAATGGATTTATGAGCATTTAAAAATAATTTTAAATGTGTACACTTATAAAAAAGGAGATGCTTCACTTGTTCTTGGTAGATTGCCTTAGGACAGACATAAATGTTTCTGAGTTTGATTCATACTTAGTTAGGTCTGACAAGAGATGTGTTTTAGGTCTCCCTGGGAACTACAACGAAATTTTAGTACTTTTTTTCAGGAAAAAGTCCTTAGCCTATGACATTCATTGGCTTCAGTGCCTGCCAACCTCTCTTTAGGCATAAGAACATCTCAGACCCAGAGCTGTTTGGGCAGCAGACAGTGAGCTCAGAACTGACCATGACGCACACGCCTCAGGAGGCAGGGGTCTGCCTCCCAACTGGGTGAGCAAGAGTTAAAACCAAGCCCTTCAGTCTTGTGACTGCAGTCTGTTCCCTGTGCTAGAAACCTAAGTGTGTGTGTGCGTGTGTGTGTCTGTGTGTGTGTGTGTGTACTTGTGTGCACACGCATTTCTTTCCAGGTATGTAATTTGTTTAAATTAATTTACTTTATACTTTTGAAGGGTTTCCCTTGTAGCTCAGTTGTTAGAGAATCTGCCTGCAGTGCAGGAGACCCGGGTTCGATCCCCTGAAGAAGGAAATGGCAACCCACTCCAGTATCCTTGTCTGGAAAATCTCATGGACAGAAGCCTGGTGGGCTGCGGTCCATGGGGTCGCAAAGAGTTGGCCATGACTGAGCGACTAATACACACACACACGCTTTTGAAAAATAGCAGGCTCTCAGTCATTAAAAAAAAAAAGAAAAGAAACCAGGTATATAAAGCAGGAAGGGGTTGGGAAAAAAAGATGTGGATTTGAGTTGTTTTGGAAAATCCAGAGAAGCAAGGAGGGGACAGCTCCTGCAGACCCCCTGCCCTGCTCAGCATCTCAGAGCCTGGGGGCCTGTCGCTTCGCCCTGTGTAGCGGGGAGTGGTTAGAAGCACTGTGCACGCTCAGTCGCTCAGTCGTGTCTGACTCTTTGCGGCCCCACGGACTGTAGCCCACCAGGCTCCTCTGTCCATGGCAGTCTCCAGGCAAGAATGCTGCAGTGGGTTGCATGCCCTCCTCGCTGTCCTCGCTGTCCTCGCTGTCCTCGCTGTACCGCTCGTTGTCCTTGCTACAGCTGGAGCCAGTCTTGCCGCCACCGCCTCCCTCCTCCTCATCCTGCACCAGCGCCCCCTACTGGCAGAACCTAACCGGGCCCTGCTGGCCCAGGATTCTGAGAACGGTAGTTTGCATTCCCCCAACAGGGGATGAGAAGGTCGGATGGTCTCAATGACTCCATAGACATGAGTCTGAGCAAGCTCTGGGAGTTGGTGATGGACGGGGAAGCCTGGCATGCTGCAGTCCTTGGGGTCACAAAGAGTCGGACGCGACTGAACTGAACTGAACATCTGCAATACAGAGCAAAGCATAGAAGATGCTCCATATATGGTCCAGATGGTATCATAGTGCTTTACAAACTAAGTTATCATACACATTAACCACTTAAACTTTTAAATTAATTTTATTGTCATAGGAAATATGGGAAAAACTTTTTTGATAGCTCCTCTTATGTGAGAGTTAAAAATGTCATCAACGTTATATTAAAGAATTTTGTGTGTATTTAAAAAGTATTTAAAGGCATCTTAATTCACACAATTCAAAAGGAGCTAAATATGTTCATTAAAAGGACTGGAGAAACATTCCTATACCTACGGCTAATCCAGGTGTCTGAAGCTCAGCTGGAGGAAGCAGCTTCTACTGTTTGGGAGTTTACATTTGACATTGGCTGATATCAGCATATTTTCTGAGTCAGAATGTTTTCTCTGGCAGTTAAATCTCCTATTTGGTTTCTGAGATTTTACATACTTTAATTCTAGCTGAGTTCTTTACATGCTTAATTTCAATGAGAAATTATTTCAGATGAATAATTTTCTGCAAGTTTACTTAAAATGAAATTGTTGTGCCTTAAAATACTAGCATCTATATTAATGATAAATCCCTTTTAAGTTACAACTACTATCCATAGATGTGTATCTTCTTACTTCTTTGGGGCTTCCCTGGAGACTCAGATAGTAAAGAATCTGCCTGCAATGCAGGAGACCCGAGTTCAATTCCTGGGTCGGAATATCCCCTGGAAAAGGGGATGGCAACCCACTCCAGTATTCTTGCCTGGAGAATCCCATGGACAGAGGATCCTGGTGGGCTATAGTCCACTGGGTCGCAAAGAGTCAGACATGAGAATCTTACTTTTTTAGTCTTCATCAATCTTTTCGGTAGCTCTATGAAGTGGGCCAGCTACTACTGCCCCAAGTCTTCTTTTTTCCAGCTTCTTTTTTTCCAGCCAAACTTAACGTGCTATGATAACTTAGTTTGTAAAGCACTATGATGCCACCTGGATCACACATTGAACATCTTCTATGCTTTGTTCTGTATTTCAGAGGTTGGAGGAGTGCAAGCTACAATTCTCAGCTTCCAGCTTCTTTTTTCCAGCTTTTGTCCAGCTATATTGGTCAACAGGTCACATATTAGCTGTGGGACCAAGACAAGAATTCAAGTTCTATAAATAAATATTGCAGCTTGCTCAGGAATATGTATCTATAAGACCACTCACAATTCTTATCCCAATAACATTAATTTTCGTGTTACACTACAGTCTAGAGCAATGCTCTTCGTGTTGGGGCAAGCATGCCATTTGGAGGTGTGCAGAGATGGTCGTGCGGTGGGGGGTCTGGATTCTTCAAAAGCAATCAGCTTTCAGAGCCTCAGCTCACACATGTCCAAAATGGTGTCGAGGATACATAGTCATTGAGGATACAGGTCTTTTCTTAACGTCCTCCCCCTTTGCAAAAGGACTTCTACCTCTCTCCCATCTTACTGTGAGGTACTAACCTGGAGTTTTAAAACCTGTGGGGAGCCAGTGGGACAATTTGGAATACTGGTAAGGAAGTAACTAGGAAAGAAAGCAAATGACCTGAATGATTTGATTGAACACCTTTTTATGAGCTTGGTGGTTCCCGTTTCTTTTCTGACAACAAGACTGTGGGAGTCTTAAATGGCATGTTGGTTGATAGAAAAGTTAAACATGAGTTTATTGATGGATTGTTCTGTGAATCTTGGCATTGAGAAAGAAGCAATAGAACTGGGTAACAATCCTGTAACAAAACTCTCTCTGTTCCCATTACTTTATTTATACAGATAAGTTTTCTTGGCATATAAGCTTATAAAAATGAAAAATCAGGAATAGAATTGATGTTGAGCCCTAACTCATTCTAGTAATAAACAATCTTCAACCACAGATTACATGAGCTAGCTGGAAAGCCCCGAGTTTTCTTAACCTTATTCTAGAAACAGGGAGGTGCATTTCCAATAAAATTTTACTCCAGATAGTACTTGTTTTTCAAGATTCTTCTTTTCTTATGTTCTTATATCATGTTCTAAAAGTAACTAGAATATAACACAATCAGAAAGGATTCTAATATTTAGAAACATTGTCTCAGGATAAAAGTTAATTAAATGTCAATTTATATACATAACACAATATTTTCTACATAAAATATTAGGATATATCCATGTGTGAATGAAACTAAGAATTCAAAGAGGAAAAAGACTGGGGTCAAATTTTAGACTATTGCAGAACTTGTTTTCACTGGATTATGGTAGTTGTCACATGGCTACGGTACTCTACTGGATACAGTTGGGAGAATGATTTTAAAATGTCAGCATTTATAGTGTACTGAAAACTACATCGATGGCAGATAGTGAAACTGATAAAGAAGACACAAGTCACTGTAAAAGCACCTATGTGATACACTTAAGAGTTTTTAAGGACCGTGCGAGCAAAAATGTTTAAGGATACAAAAGATCAGGTGTCTTGAGGAGGAGCATTGCCACGGGTCTCTCATGGGGTTTCTTTGTCTTCCCAGTTTGACCTCGTGTGTGTCAATGCTTGGATGCTGGATCTCACACAAGCCATCCTGAACCTGGGCTTCCTGGCCGGGGCGTTCACCTTGGGCTATGCAGCGGACAGGTAGGCATGGGTAAGACAGCCGCTTCACGTCTAGAAGATGATGTGTACCTGTGCAGAGGGAGATGTTTCGTGTTGACTATTAGGAAGCTATGCTTTCCACATTTGGAAAAGAGTCTTCATGCCCCCACTCATGATGCTGAACACCTATTTGGGTGGACTCATTCTTTCCTTCTTAAACTGCATCTCCTTACCCCGTGAACTGTACAACCCACTAGGGCCACTCCGCTTGGGTCTGAAGACGTCTGAGAGCGAACATAGACCAGCAAGGCAGTGACTTCGTGTCTGGGCCGAGGGCTGGCTTGGCTGGACGCTCTGGAGATGATTCCACGTGCTTCAGTAACTCCCTAGTTGTGGTTTGATTTCATTTAGTCCTAAAGTCAGCCCCTTACAAATTTGTTTCATTCAATTAAAAAGAAAATTGTATTTCATTCTACCAGTCAAAAACTTTGCAAAAAGAGTTTTACAAAAAACCATGGCCTATCATAGGTACCTCTTATACTTATGGAAATATTATTATATATCCAGGGCATTTCTAATCCAAAGTTTGAAAATGGTGCGGCTTAAATGAAAAGCCAATGCATACACCAATGGCGGATACCTGGATGTTCAACACGCAGGACTCTGTCTTCCTTGTCCCTGCCTCCCTTTCTGACCTGAGTATTCTTGCCTGGAAAATCCCATGGACAGAGGAGCCTGGCGGGCTACTGTCCACAGGGTCACAAAAGAGTCAGACACAATTTAGCAACTAAATAACAACATATCTGTGGGAGGACAGTAGGAAAGGCAGAGAGTGAATTTAAAACCCTAGGTAAACCGAGACCACTTCTATCTTTACTGTGAAGCAAGAAACTGTGTGAATTGGATGGAAATTGCTATGGAAATTCACCCGCAGTTGCATGACTGGTATATGGTTGAGCCAAGATTGAAGGCCAGGCCTTTTGGCTGTCATGACCATTTCGGCTACTTTCTGTGCCTCTCTCCTTCCGGAGAAATGCTAGGAAGTGTCCAAGCTGCCACCAGGGTGGTCGTATGCAAGAAAACGCTATGGATGAGGACCTGGAGAGATGGAGAAGCTTATCTCCTTGGAAACTGCAGTCCCAAAGGATGCCTTCTGTGCTTTAAACTTCATAATGTCATTTCAGAGGCATATGTTTTTACTTGCCCTGGTTTTGCTACAAAACAAAACGTAGCACTTTCCGTAACCCTTGACGTGGTGATCAGGAACTTCTAGGGGACAAAAGTTCTGCACTTGCAGTTCTTTTAACAACACTTACAATGATCGTCTTCTCATGGTGTTGAAAAAATCATTTAAGGTAATCTCTTCCTCTCTGATTCTCAAAAAGGTACGGCCGAATAGTCATTTACTTGCTATCGTGTTTTGGTGTTGGCGTCACCGGCGTCGTGGTGGCGTTTGCCCCCAGTTTCCCCGTGTTTGTGATCTTCCGCTTCCTACAAGGCGTGTTTGGAAAGGGGACATGGATGACCTGCTACGTGATCGGTAAGACCTGGCTTCATCTCCTTGTCTGTTTGAGAACCAGGGTTTGGAGGGGAGAAGTGCCACTGCCCGGCCTTCCTCCGGCAAGTCTGGTGACGCTTCACTCCTTCTGCCGTGGTCACTCCCACAACATAGGAGGGTGAGGGACAAGCCGCTGAGTCTTTAGAAGTTAAAATTCCCACCACTGTGTTTGGTATATATTACGTATATATTTGAAAACCAAATAGGGAACATCACAAAAAACTGGGGCAAACCGTTTTCTAGCACTTTGTAGCCATACTGCAGTCACATGCTTTCTCGCTTTGCTTTCTTTTTTCTTTTTTCCATGTATCTTTGGTTGCACTGGGTCTGCGTGGATATGCCTGGGCTACTCAAAGTTGCGGTGCACAGCTTCTGTTCACGGCGGCTTCTCTTGTTGCAGAGTGTGGGCTCCGGGGCGCTTGGGCTTCAGTAGTTGCAGCACATGGACTCACAGCTCGTGGGTTGCAAAGTGCAGGCTCGGAAGTTGTGGCACACGGACTTAGTTGCTCCATGGCATGGGGGATCTTTCCAGACCAGGGATCGAACTGGTGTTTCCTGCGTTGGCAGGCAGATTCTTAACCACTGGACAACCAGGGAAGCCTTTGCTTTGCTTTCTCAGAGATGAATTTTTATAAAAATTTCAGTAGTTCCTTGAAACATTTTAAAAGCATTTTCCATGTATTTCTAGGATACCATGTGAGCTAACATTGCTGTGCTCTCAAATATTATCCCTTCGATTCTATTCCTTCCACACAAGTGGAGCACTTTTTACCACGCAGGAGATATGACCTGAACACGGGGGCTTCACTTGTAAACCTTTGCTATCTTCTATACCGAGAAAGATGGGCTTCTGACTGTAAAGCGAACAAAAACTTCTCTTCGCTCCTTGCTTCTGTTACTGGAGAAGGTCCTGGCTGTTCTCTTTCCAGTCGTGTCTGGGATGGGCACCTTCTCAGAGTCACGGTGGATTTGTGACCAGGGAAACAGGAAACCTTTTCTTGGATTATCACTCCAGACCCGTGTGCTTCCACTCTCTCCTGTTACTGCCAGATGATCCCTCTTTGGGGTGCCCACTTTGGGGACCTTTCAGATCTTTTTAGTGGTGGGGAAGCAGAGAGCTGGGGGCCCTAATGGTTGATGGCTGGCGTAGGTGGGGTAACTTCTCTGAAGTGTTTTTAAGGAGACGTCAGTCTCAGTGAGTTTTCCTGGCTGTGCCCTTAGACCAGCAGTAAGGGAGCATACCCCAGGATGATCGGAATGGAATTAGGGGCAGATAGAAACCAATAGATTCCACGCGGTGCAAAGCAGGTGCTGCAGGAGACGCGGATTCGATCCCTGGGTCGGGAAGATCCCCTGAGGAAGGATATAGCAACCCACTTCAGTATTCTTGCCTGGGAAATCCCATGCACCGAGGAGCCTGTCCGTGAGGGTGCAAAAGAGCCAGACACAACTGAGTGACTGAGCATGCACCGGGCTTGACCAGAGGGCTTGGGAGCACAGTGAATTTACAGAGTCCTAGTGATGCTGATGGATGGACATAACAGGTGTGATGTCTGTGTTTCTGTGTTTGTTTAGAGCTGATACTGAGCTTCTCTAACCTCTGTGTTTGTTTTCCTTCAGTGACTGAAATAGTAGGTTCAAAGCAAAGAAGGATTGTGGGAATAGTGATTCAAATGTTCTTCACCCTTGGAATCATAATTCTTCCTGGAATTGCCTACTTTATCCCCAGTTGGCAAGGGATCCAGCTAGCCATCACACTACCGAACTTTCTCTTCCTTCTTTATTACTGGTAATTTGATTTTGGTCATTATCACATTTATTCTTGCTCAAGAGACACGTAGAATGTATGCTGCTAAACAAACATGGACATGAAGGCGATTACGGAGATGTCTAACATCTCCAGAATGACTATGGGCTTTGAGAATTTCTAGAGAATTTTCAGAGGTTATTTATTGATTGATTTTTGACTAATTCTTATTATTAAATTACAAAATTCCAAAACACATTTAAAATAGAGTATTAATTATGTTTTATTATTTTGTAACATTTTTATGAAAACCACAAGGCAACAGACTGTACCTCCCAGTATCTCAACATGCAATTTAAATGCAGTGAACATGATTGCTTCTCTGTATATTTTACTAAGCAAATTAATGTTACTCAGGAATTCTCAGGGGAATAAGAAAATGTTAAGAACCTCAGAAAATTAAATTATCAGAAAATTATGGGTGTAGGCATTTGATTCTTGTTAGAGTGAACATATTTTAATTATTCCTCTAATTTAATTTTAATATATGAGCAAATCAGTTTACATAAATTAGGTTCCTAACCTTTTCCTAAATGCTCATTAAATCCCAGTTCTTTTCTTATATGTAATTGAGGACATGTATTCTAATATAGCCTTCTTGCAAGAGCAGTGTAATATTGATTTATTTTGTCATGAGCAATGATTCAGTTGTCAAGTGAGCATTTTTTCCCTTTCAGTATAAGCTTGCAAAGGTAATCTACATTTCAGAGAGCTAATTCCAAGCTCTCAGAATCTTCTAAATGTGTATCTAATTGTAAGATCCATTTTGAATGAAACTCAAGTCATAAATTTTTGAAATTCACAAGCATAACTCAAAAAAGACTTCTTCTCATTAGGGTTGTTCCTGAATCTCCCCGCTGGCTGATTACTCGGAAGAAAGGAGATAAAGCCTTAAAAATTCTGAGGAGCATTGCCAAATGCAATGGGAAATACCTCTCACCAAATTACTCAGAGGTAATTTTACATATTACTGGTAACAAGTATTGTTAAAGTGCGTGAATTTTAATTTCCCATGCACATATTATCAAACATCTGACTAATCATTGATAGTTTGACTTTAAAAAAAAAAAAAACTTGGGAAGAACCATAGAAGTAATTGCAAAATAGTAATAGCATTATAGCTGAAGTGAATTGGTCATTTAGTCCATATTTTATTAGTTGTACCAAATTATTAGATCTCATAGTAATTAACCATTCATTCACCTTACTCACACAAACTATAAATCTTTTCTTAACATTCAATTTTAGTCTAAAGTTTTGTTTTTAAATTTAGTCTTGCAAATATAATCTATGTCAAGTAGAGCTTGGACAAAGATGTCATGTTTCAGCCTTTAGACTTACACCTGCTGGACAATCTGCCCTCCCTCCCATCTTCCTTTTCATCCTTCCATCATTCCTTCCTCCAGCAAAGGCGTTTTGGATGCCTCTGTATCACTGCACTGAGAGAAAAGAGGGGTGATGGAGTAAAAGCTCATTCTTGGAAGATTCTCAATATGCTGTTGAGATATATATACATACACATATATTTGAAGCAATGCCTGAATAATTAGAGAGTAGCATCTAAAAAAAAGACAGAATTTTGCTTTAGCTGCAAAAACTAAGTGAATGCACCATAACAGAAGGATTACTATAAGAGAATATTTAAGAAGGATTTTCAATATTACTATTATTAATGTTGTTTTATTTTGTAGCGTTCAGTTTGTTTAGTTAGAAAAGTTCTGATAAAAATAGGTTTTGTGGGTTTTATTGTCAACTCCCTAGCTTCATAGCTCCCTAGAGCCTGGTCAGGTGCATTTGGATTTCTGCCTTCTTTCACTCTTACATTAAGTGGGCTCTGTGATTTACAAAGGTTTCAGCGGACCAGTTGTCACTGTTGGAAGCAGATTCATGATGAATTGGGTTGGCCAAAAAGTTCACCTTACAGACAAACCCCAATGAACTTCTTGGCCAACCCAATACCTTGAGGTTTGTTGTTTAGCTGCTCAGTCGTGTCAGACTCTTTGAGACCTCATGGACTGTAACCCGCCAGGCTCCTATGTCCATGGGATTTTCCAAGCAACAGTACTGGAGTGGTTGCCATTTCCTTCTCCAGGGGATCTTCCTGACCCAGGGATCCACCTTGTGTCTCCTGCATGGCAGATGGGTCCTCTACCTCTGAGACACCTGAGATGCTCACCTTGAGGTTTACAGATCGTAAAATAAATGGTAAAGAGAAAACATGCCTGTTGACCATGAAGACTAGTCGATCCCTGTCGTTGTTTGAGCACATTGAGCTGTGCTTTTAGGGGAAAAGCCATCCCCCTGCCTCTCAATTTGTAGTGGTCAAGCGCGTTGTCAGGCTCCACAGCTGGATCAAATGTATGATACTTTGTACTCAGTTTTAGCGGCCAAATGAGTATTTTTTCTATTCATGCAATGAGTACCTTGAAGGTATTGCCCATGACATCCCAGAGTGTAAGATCTAAATCAAGGTTTTAAGAGTATAGAAAAATATTATGTCCCAATGGCTTATGAAGGGATGCCGCATTAACCAGTCTCGTCATGTGTTATCATGAGTCTTCTGAGAGGCCCGAGGATGGTTCACAAGAACAGCTGCTGTTCCACATCCTATGAGTGTCCAGCCCAATGCCCACTGACTCGCTTTGAGTTCATGAGCAGGATGGCAACCATTTCAGCAGGGAGATACTTAAACGCAGTACATGATTATGATTGTGAAAGATTATGAACTGTGGGTTTGGTGACTTCCAAGACACTGGAACTCTAGTTTTTGCAGTTAGATGATTTCCATTTAAAAGTAAATTTTGAATTAAACTTCAGTTTCTCTGGAGAATTTACTCCAGCATCCTGGCTACAAATGTAGGCTTAGGATACTAGTTACTGATCATTCTGGTTGATAAGCCTCTTTGGTCTTTTTAATCTGTAGGTTCACTTTTGCTTTTCTAGAAACTTTGGGGGTGGAGAATGCTAGGGTTGAGATCTTAGTTTCCAGACCAGAGACTGAACCCAAGTCCACTGCCTTGGAAGGCAGATTCTTAACCACTGGACCACTAGGGAAGTCCCTTGTTCTTTTCACATTGCTGAGTTGGTTGCCTATATTCTCAAAGAGTAATCAATGCATTGTGGATTATGGTTTTTTTTTAAAGCCTGCTTATGATTCCTGTGTATGTTTCAGTCTTTTGTTTTTGTTGTTATCCTTATTGATGCTCAAATCACCCCTGTCTTTGGACAGATAAGGTTCATCTTCCTTGATTCCTGAGTCTGTCTGCCACACATTTAGTAGTTTCTGAAAGCTTCCTTGCTCATTAGCATGATGAGATTTTCCAAACTTGTCTTGTAATCTCCAGTCTCATGCTTGTAATCACCCGCTTGTCAAAGGGGGCTTCAATTTCTTAAACAAATGTCTTCAAACTGATCCTGTCCATCTCCAACCTTTAAAAATTTTACAACATAAGCCAAAAGGCAAAGTATTATCCTTAAAAAGAAAAAGAATTTTACATTTCAGTTTAAAATACCTTACTATAGCTGAATTCAGTCAAATTATAGGCCAAACCATTGTTGTTATTTTTTTAATTTCAAAGATCTTAATGTTTCCACAAAGCATGATAATACGCAAAATGTCTCTTTCATTACTCAAAAATACTGGATAATAGTGCAGACATTTGATTTGAACTCCAACACCAGCATCAAAGCAGGATCCCATTATATTTTCTGAGTGGGAGAGAGTGCTGTCAGTTCCTCACATTTTGGTGACTCAGATGATTGTCACCCATGTGAATGTTAGGGTCACCTTGAAACCTTATGTTCACATAATCACTTCACACCTTCAGAAACATTTCATTGCTTTAGCTGGTATCCCTGCTCTCTGGATAGAATACCATCAAGGCGCCCATGCCCACTTTTCACAGAACCTCTCTTCTTCGGTAAATCCTGACTTTTGGAAGGAGTTATTACCGTGTAAGTGACCCTATCCTCCAAGACCTGTCCAATTCCCACCTCATCCTAGGGGTGGACATTCTAGGTTGCAGTGAAGCTAGAATGAATTAGAAAGAATCTTCTGGGATGCAAAGCTAGCAGCTGTACCTTCCTGTCCTCACAACACCCTCAGCTACCTCCCAACCCTGGCCTGTTCCATCCCTGGCACTCGGTCTATTTTAGGCTTGAGAAGCAGAAGTGGTAGGGGACCAGTTCAGAGCAGAACCTATAAAGGCATCGTGAGTTTCTGACCTCTCTCTTGCCTTTCCATCTGCTGCAAGACCAGCACATCCCAAACTGAAGCTGTTCCTTCAGCGTGGGTCCAGAATGAGAAGAACTATAAGGTGGAACAGCTGACCTAGGGCCGAGATATGGAATGTGGCCAAGAGATCATTGTTTCCTCAGTAAAAACTGTTGTCGGCTAAATGTGTCTCAGTATGCTACAGAAATTTGAGGGTGTTTGTTTCTGCCATCAAAGCTAACTAATGTAGCTGATCATAACAGTACTGGTTCAACTGCCAGAGTGGAGTTTGGTGATTCAACACATTTTTGGCTATCAAGATGACACTGGATTATAGTCGATTAGATTGCTGTTTGACATAGTAACATCTTCCCCCTCATTTCCAGCGAATGAAAGTACTTCCTGGCTGCACTGATGGTGGACACAGCAATGTAACCTGCTTTGGTCTCAGATGGGTGGGGTGTATAGCCTGTGCTTCGATTCTGGGGCTTGGTCGTTCAGGTTGCTTTGGTCAATGCTAGGTGACCAGATGTGATGCGGTAGAGTCAGGAAGCATGCTTGCGTGCTTGGGCTTCAGCCATCACTGTGAGAAGAACATTCCAGGCTCTCCTTCTGAGCATGCAGAAGACTAAGGGACACTGGGAGGAAAGCTGCTCTAGCAAAGTCTCCTGAAACCGGGATCAGCAGTCTCCCAGGCAGCCCACAGATGGATGAGCTCAGTGAATGCCTATTGTCTTATACCACGACGCCTGTTGGACAGCATCATCTATCAATAGTCAACGGGCACCCTGATGAAATAGCCATTGACACTTACTGACCTGGATTATACAACGACATCAGTAGTAACTCTCGCAGCAGTTTTAGTTTCTTTTTTTTTAAGGATTAAAAAAAAAATCCTTTTCCTAAAGATCCCTCTCTTCCCCCCTCCTCCTCCTCTTGTTTCTTAGTGGGCTATGCTCATGGAAAATAGTAGGTTACCACTCTAGTTAACAAAGAGCTAATACCACAGAACTGAATGTGTCCGAATTTGTTGGCAATATTGTCATGCCCCTATTGACTCAAAAAGCTGTAAGGCTTGATTGTAATGTCCTTATTTTTATGGTGTGCTTATATTCATTGCTCATAGCTAATCACAGCTTGTTGAGATGTAAGTATCAGATGTTACACTGATGCTCATCCATGCAGAAACCCTCTCATGGGCAGTTCCCATGGTGACATGTTTGGGTAACATTAAAAACTGACACTTGAGCTTTCTGACCCCAAAGGGACCATCATCAGTGTAAACAATCCCGCTCTGATATATTTCCAAAATGGAATTTATTAAAACCTCATTAAAAAGGGGATTAGGCTAATTTTTCAATTACCTTGGTTACCAGAGAGACTTCCAACTCTTAATAGCTGCCATATTGCCTACATTTTAATGAACCGTCACAGAAGCATCAATATTGCTGCAGAGAGGGACTTTCCAGCTTTGGGAATGTCTGTTTCTGACATTTCCTTTCAAAAGGGGGTATTTATAAATGTAATTTTGGTTTTTCCAAAAGGGGAACCACACCATGATTCCAGCTGTCATGAAGCCCATGTGAGCTCTTTGACTTCATACAGAATAAATGATTCCATTCTACCAGCAAAGCTGTCATCCTTAACATGACACTAAATGATTACTGTAGTCATATATAGTGGAACTATAGGTAACTTTGTTCTGTAACCTTGTTCTCTATTTTCTAAGTCTCCTGTAAAT